ACATCTCTGTTTGCCAGCTTCTTGTAAACACCATATTGCAAAGAAGGCAAAGGCAAAACACTCCTCTCCACACCTCCCTCAATTTTTCTTTTCTTTTCTATTCTTTCTTTTCTTTTCTTTTCTTTTCTTTTCTTTTCTTTTCTTTTCTTTTCTTTTCTTTTCTTTTCTTTTCTTTTCTTTTCTTTTCTTTTCTTTTCTTTTCTTTTCTTTTCTTTTCTTTTCTTTTCTTTTCTTTTCCTTTTCTTTTGTTCTTTTCGTTTCATTTCTTTTTCGTTTCATTTTCCTTTTCTCTCCTTCCTTCCTTCCTTCCTTCCTTCCTTCCTTCCTTCCTTCCTTCCTTCCTTCCTTCCTTCCTTCCTTCCTTCCACACGGTTTCATGAAGAGAAGCAAGACTTGTGCATCACAAACGGTGGAACTAGCCCCATCACAGCCACCTTCCCACCCTACAGTAATGCACAAGCCCATCTTAGCCTGTACCTGCCCCCAGAAGGTGTTTGTTTGTCTCTTGATCTTTTTGAAAAACCATGCAGTCTGATCTGCTGTGGAGTTCTGCAGTGCAGGTGCTGGGTGGCTGGTTCTCCCCCTTTCCTGAGGCTCATAAGTGATTGTTTTTGGACAGGTAGGCAATAAGAGCCACGGCCACCCCGACATAGATGCCAGTTCCGATTGTGATGGACAGCACAGCCAGGAAGAGTGCTCGCCGAGAGCTGGAGCTTGCATGGTGGAAGTCGCCCTTGGCTACAGCTTTGTTTGTCTGCAAGATACACAACAACAAAAATGCAATATATTTATTTGTTTCATCTGAAAATGAAGACGAGATGCTCTTTTCTTAGCTGAAACATGCTTGGGGATATGACAGTAAACTGGTTGGGAATCAGATACTTTTTTAGTTGAATTGGATTACTCGTATGATTGAGATGATTATGGAACCAAAGGCATCTCAAGCAGTATTTTTAAATGCCTTGAAGCTTAAACAATTTGTAGGATTTAATACTATGTGTCACAATGATTCCTGAGACAGCTCAGCCTCTTCTGAGAATGTGAGCAGATAGGCTGCAAGCCAAGAGTCTCCTAAGTCCCCTTCAGAAACAGCTAGAACCCTGTTTCAGAAAGATGGATGGATTCCAACCTGGCTGGGAAAGGGAAGAAGGGAAAAGCCATTTAAAAGTGTTATTTGGAACCAAAAATTCTTCCAAGTCAGCCAAAATGTTCTTACCTGGACAAAGGCAAGAGGGGCAGAATTTTCCTTTTCCGTGACCAGGTGGAGTGACTGGTGCAGGATCACCACCACAAAAAGGCCAGCCACCACCACTTACCTTGCCTTTACCTTAGGTCTGAGCTTTAGTACAGAACACAAACACTTAGAAAACTAGAGCTGGTAGACACTTGATTCAGCTGAACCCTTCTGCATACAAGCAGGACACTCTGCTTGATTACCACAGTGACAACGAGCACGCTTCAGTGCGGTTCTGAAGTGGGGCCACTGGTGCTGGAGCCATGGCCTTCCCTCCTGAGGGCAGTGCATTCGGCTGGATGTGTCAGCAGAAGGAGGAGTTTCCATTTTGATGGTGCTAAAGTGGCTTTGATATCTCTATGCTCTGGTATCCAGTAGCTTACAAGACTGATCCAAAACCCTGGTAATGGCATCACATCTTCTATGTAGGTCTGATTACCCTAGCAGCTGTCTTGAATTCAACCTGATCAGCTGGAGCTCCTGAAGTTACATGCCAGACATTTAGGCTTGAGTACAATGAACCTCACAAATTTACAGCTTTTTAGTACAGCTGAAATATCAGACACAGAAAGCAGAAATGCAGCAGGTTTGGGACTGGTGTCTGTGATGATCCCACAGTCACACTAACATCAAAAGGATGGCCTCTGCAGAAAGCTACACCTGGAGTTACAGAAGTGTTCAAATATCGGTTCCTCTAACTCCCTCCTTCCAGATGCCTTCGAGTCCAAGACCCAAGACAAAAGCAAAATCCCTGCTCAAAGCAGGAAAGCCAGAATTGGACAGGAATTGATATACTCATTGACAACACTGCCTAATGCCTTTTCAATCTTGCAGCATGATGAAAGGAGGGTGTCTTTTAATAGACAGTGGTGTGATAGCAGCAGGGTCACCCAGGAGGCAGTAACAGATCTGTCACCTACAAGAAAGGTCCTTTAGAAGCATATGAGCTCCATAAGGTCTGGACAGTCTTTGCTCCCTTGTTACAATGAGTGAGGGATTCTTAATGCTTTAATTGTACTTCTCCACAAATGCTCATTTTGCTGGGACACTTTCTGCTTCAGTATCATCTAACTTTCTAGACAGTTTTTGCTCCATTTTCTATCATTTTTACTGTCTTGCTACTCAGAGCGATTTACAGCGGATGAATGACAAGATTCCAAGCTGACAAAAAGGCTCCTGGCCTTTCTATCAATGACTTTATTAGGAGAACCGTCTCTTCTCATTCATCAACCTAATTTTTTAAGCATAATGCCTAATAAATGTTTCAGGCAGAAACAATGTCAAACAATGCATATTAAAGGAGAGGTGGGCCAGGCTGCAGGCAGGAGGAAAATGACTATTTCCAAACAACGACATATAAACAACTCTCAGGTTTACCCTTAGCATCATGTCCTATAGTTCAGATGGGGAAGGCATCCTACTCACTTTGCAAAGGATGTCCAGCCAGCCCCTCACCAGGGTTAGTAGTGGTTTTATGATCTTCTTGTCTGGAGTCACAGAAAACAGAGCCCTTTCTGGAAAAAGTGCAAGGGGATTTGGGAATCATGGAGGCTTCTGTTAAGGTTGCTTGAAAGTCTTGGCAATGAAAGCAGAGAAAGCTCTAGGAATAGGTGGTCATTCAGCTCTCCCCAAAGATTTTCTCCAAGCACTTGCCATTCATCAGAAAGTTAATAAAAGCTTTGAACAGAAAGGCTCCTAATAACTGAATTTAGGTTGAATTTATTAGACTTAAACGTAAATTTGCAGCACTGAAGATATTTATGCCTTTGGATAAACAGAGTTAAAGAGTTTCAACACCCAAAATGGAGGAAAAGTTGGAAATCGTTGGAACATTTCAATTTGACATTTCTGAAATGTCACGTTATATTATGAAAAATTCTACAACATTTTGGGCTGACCTCTTTTAAATGAAACTTTGTAAAGCTTCAAAGCAGCAGCATTTTTTCATTTAAAAATAGCCCCAAAACTCCAAGGAAAAAGAAGCCATTAGCCAAAATGTCAAATAATCTGAAAACCTGACACTATGTCTTCATTGGATTCAATAAAACCTGAGGATCTACCCAAAATGATGTGTTGAGCAACCCAAAGGTATTCAGAAGACTGATTTGTTGAGTGCTAATAGCCTTTTTTTCTGATAGGATCTTCAAACTAGTGACAAATCTGCTCACAAATAACAGTTATTTTTCCTTGTTTGTTCGTTTACCCCTTGTTGAGCTCTTTGAGGACTGTCCTGACCTTTGTGAAAGGACTGCACCTATGATGAAAAACCAGCTTTTTGTTAAAATATTCAACCCAGCCAAAACCAGATGTTTTGTATTGTGTGTTGCCATAGAGTTGTTGAATTTAACATCTTCTGTCATTACGATGTAGCATGATTTTACTTGTGGAACAAGCCTGCACTTTCACATAAATTTTACTTTCCAAAAAATTGCCTATTGCAGGAGTTGTGGTTTGTTATTGTTTTTGTTTTCTTTTAAACTGGTGTGAGTTTTGTGATTTAGAAAAATATATATTATGACATATTATATATTATAGCAAAATATATACTATAATACATTTACATATAATTATGGGTGTAGAGAACATTCGTAAGGGCACATCGGAAGGACAATTTTATGTTCTTCCTTTAGTCCATTCAAAAAGTTTTCCACCGAAATGGAGAAATCACCAACACAAAAAACATCCTCCACTAGTGTAAAAATAGTCTGAAATTGCCTGTTTATGACAAAGAAAAATTTTGCTGCTATTTGCTAATTAGAAAAACAATCCCATTATTCCCCTATGTCACCATATGCAAATTATAGCCTTTCTGCAGGTTTAAGCTAGATGGTTCTGGAAAATGGTTATTACACAAAATACAATTATGGCCAATTTTATTAGGTTAGCATCTGGCAACTAATAAGCAGTTTTTCTTGAACTTTATTTATTTATTTATTTATTTATTTATAAACAGGGATCTTTGATATTTCTGTGTACTTTGAGAAAGTCCCTTGGTTTTGGTAGCCATCCTCCAGTTTATGGCCTAGCCCATTTAATGCCTGACACAGAGAAACCACTGTTTGTGTTTGGGGTTTCCATTCCTGGGATGCCTCTGCCCTAGCAAATGCAATGTGGGAAATGAAGACAAGAAATGCCTCGTGTAGATCAGAGAGCCCAGTCAGACCCAGTCTCACCAGCTTCTCCTTGGCCTGGTAGAGAAGATGAAAATAATGCTCATAAAACCTAAAAATAAACTAGGGCATCTAAATGTAGTGGTCAGACTGTTTACGTGATTTTATAGTGTCTGTATTCAGACTAAAAGCTTCTCTTCTTAGAAGAACTGGCCACCTGGATCAAATGCCACAGACAGGTAAGCAGAGGCAGTGATTCAAGGCTCCAGAAGCCCCAAAATGTACAAGTACACAGACAGGCCTCTATCATAGATCCTTCTTGGTATCTGCAGTCAGCCACAACACTGGGACCTCAGGCACCAAAACAAATTCAACCTCCTGTTCTGACACATATTTTTGGGTCAAATGATGAATGTTTTCATGATGCCACTGTGATTAAAACTGTAGAAAAAAAATAATAATCCATTTTAGCTGTTAAAAAAAAATGCTGTGTGTGTTGGGTAAAAATATTAAACTGAATAAGGAAAAAAAAAATTTGGTTAAAAACACTTTTAAGGAATTCAGCCAGATTTCAGGTTGTACAAGGCAGGATGCATTTGGCTGACGCTGTTCCCAATTTCACAAAAAAGCCCCATCTCAGGTGCCCACAGTGCCTGCACCCCTGGGTGTCCACAGGTACCACAGTCTACTCAGAAACCTTGCCTAAGATGAGGAATCCCTGCATCCACCCATGTGTTTTACTTATTAGATGTGGCAATTGGGTAATGTTGATCACTAGGGCCCTTGGGCTGATGTGTCAAATGGTACAAAGGCAGTGTTTGCCCAGCCATTCATATGCAGTTTGGAAATGGATTTCTGTGAGCTGCTTTTGGCAGACACAGCTCTGACCTCAGTAAAGGAGAAAATGCAATGTTTGCTTTCATTTTTTCCCTTCCACTGAAAAATAAAGCTTTAGCTATTAGTATTAGTGGGCTGAATACTTAGCTGTTATTAACTGGCCCATCATACTTGACTCTGGAAGGTAATGCAGCAACGACTGGTACAAGAATGAAGATCTAAATGCCATAGTAACAAAGGCTTTGATTCACTAAATCATCTTCAAGATAAGTACCTTAATTTAACTAGTAAGGAATACAAAACAGCTATTCTAATGGGTTTAAAAGTGAGTGCAGAAGTAAGCACTTTTCTTAATCAGAATTATATAATGTGTGGAGTTTTATGGCATTTCTATCCATTTGTTTCTTCCCTTCCTTAGCAAGACTGTGTCTGGCAGCCAGATGATTGATGAAGCAATTTAATACAGTCTTTGGACAGCAGTGGGACCAACAGGTTTGATAAACAGAGCAGGGGATGAGTGCAAGACACTGGATGAATTATGAGTGGGGGAAAATTCATCACATCAGCACCAGGTTCCCTTGCTGCACAGCCAGAAGATGAGATACCTTCCTTGCAAGGGGCTCCTATCCCTGGATGAACCCCGCCTCTTGGTTTTGCTTTGGTTTGTATCCTTTGGATGCCCAGCTATGACCAGGGGCTTGTCAGCTACTGACATAGGCTGCCATGAAGTTTGAGGTCAGCTGGGGCTAGAGCAAATACCAGCCCTCACTCAATCTTGCCTTATAGAGGCTTTGGAAGCACCCCAGGAAAGGGACAGGGTGGAGAGTGGGGGTTTGTAGAAGGGGTAAGGAGGCCTGAAAGGTTTTTCTGTCTTTATTTAACTAACAAAACTAATATCTTGTTTAGAAACACTTTCAAGGAACTTCCCTGGAGTTCCCACTTGAGCTTCAGCAAAACATATTCATCACGTCTCCAGGCTGCATGTTTTATGGGCTGAGGAAAGATGAATACTGTACCTGCACAGATGCAAGGCCAAAACATTCTGCTGCATCCCACACTGACTCATATATCATGCTCACAAAATACCTTGTGGTATGCTGTGTCTGGAGACAAGAAACGCATTGATCACAATTATTAATCCTGCTTCATCCCCTTGAGGCTAGACAGCAGGAATGGCCCCATGCAGTAGGAGGAGAGGGAATCCAGACCTGGTTGGTCAGGTGGCAGGAGGGTTTCTTTCCACTTTGTGGGGAGAAATGGCCAGCAGGGAGCAGGGATGCACAGGTTACATGCAGTCACTAGCCTTAGTCACTGAGTCTTCCATCTTCAAGTGTTGTGCAAATAAATGCCACAAAATGAGTGACTCATACAGAAACTGATCCTGCTCCCATCTCTTCTTCCATCTTTCTTCTAGGCAAAAGCCCTGGCCACTGTTTTTGGCTTGTCCATCTTGCACTTCTGCTGATCTCAAAGTTGTGGGCAGTGATGCCTCCCCTCTCTGTGTTGCACCACTTAGTTTCACTGAGTGCAAGAAAAGGACTCCAGAGACTTTCCTCAAGATACAGATGGGAGAAGGCTGCTCAGGATTTGCTTTTGGACCATAAATGACAGAAGGGAGGTGCCACTCAGCAGGGAAGAGCATGGGGCTGGCAGGCACCAGGCATGTGGGTTGGGATGTGGCAGGGGAGTTTTCAGGCTTGAGAAGACTTCTCTGGCAACAGAAGGGCTATTCAAGTCCCATCAGACAGCTCCACAGGCAGAAATGGTGATCCAAATAAATGACAGATGGTCCTGCACTCTGTCAGGCATTTGCGAATTCCTTTATGCCCACAGTATAATAGAAACTGCAGCCCAGTAGAAACTGAAAGGCTCTTCTGGAGGTTTCCATCATTTCTGCTGTGAGCTTGACCCAAGAAATGGACACAAGTCTCAAGTGACCATTCCCTGCCTGTAACTTACAGTGGAAAGGGTTAAAGGAATTTCCACAATAAAGTGGGAAGTGGAGAGGGAAGAAGGTGTCATCTGAAATGCAGACACTCCTAAACAGAAACCCAAACTTCCTAGTTTCAGTGCTGGACTTAATTTCTCATGATGCTTAAGTTTCTTTTCCTCTTCAAAGGCGGGTCTCCAGCTTACATGTAGGCTTATCCAGCCTTTCGACAGCAGTTTCTAAAACCAATTACTTGGGTCATCTTCAGGGGATTTCTGTCCATTCTCCAGTGCTGATAGGTAGAGACTAGATAACTTGGGACTCTTATCTTTCCTTCAGAGATGGATCAACCCTCTTCTAAACCCTGAGCATTTAAATGTTAAAAAGTGTAAAGTCTTGATGATAACCTACTGTCTGGTAGCACTAAGATCCAGTTGGGATAGCTTATGAGGGCCACGTTACATGCGGGGCAGTGCTGAAATACCTCTATTGTTTGGGGAGCAATGCCAAAAGGATGATACGGGGGTGTCAACAGAAATTCCTTGACATCTGGAGAGGGGATAAGCTGCTGTAAGCAGCTGCTGCTGCTGCTCTGCTCCAGGTTCTTCCATATGTCTGAAGTGCTCTGCTGCACCTCCGAGTGGCAAAACAAAAGCTGGTATGAGAACTTATTCTCAGAGGATTTCTTCCTCAAGTGATTCCTCATTCTAGTAAATAGGTTTGTGCTTTCCGTGGCCAGAGCATAGCTCTGTGCAATGCAGGTGCATCACAAAAGGCAGGCAGGTAACCATGTGTCTGGAGTTGCCTCTTACATTGCACTTCATATTTAGACGCGGTTTAACCAAATCTTACTCCATCCAGCCCATGAAGTGGCATTTCTTTTTGGGTGAGCATCACCTTCTTTGCCCTGTAACAGTATAGGAACGTCCAGTTTGAACAAAATCACACCAAGCTCCTGAATGACAAAGGGGCAAGTGAGAACAAGAAAAAGGATTTCTGCTACCATTAAATTAACTGATGCTGTTTTCATGGAAGGGGATGTTCTGGGAACCAGATTTATTCCTGGAAGCTCAAGAAAGGCTCAGGAAAAGAGTGTGTGAATAGGAAGGAGAGGGTGTAAATGGAGACCAGCGTGAGCCTGCCTCTTCTGCATGATCAACTTTCATAACATCTGGGTTTGAGCCATTAGATCATTTCAGTATCAATGTTTTCTGTCGGAATTTGAAAATATGACGTAGGCTAGGACGTGATTCAGCCCCCGGCTGGTGCTGCCTGTGGCGTTTGATTGTATATTCAAGTGCAGATAAAACTATAAATGTCCGAGTGAGATTTTGACAGTTGGAAAAACAAGAGAATAATAATGAGAACAGCAGGCGTAAAAGGCCTGAGTGAGCAGAATGCAGAGAGATGTTTTTAGACGAGCTCCACAGCAACAGCAGTTCATTTGATTGCACTTGAGAGGATGAGACCTCAGCCTGCAATATGAGGGCAATTTTGTTTTCCTGGCAGATAAAGGAATTTGAAACCTTGGATGTTTATGGTAAAGAAGAAGATCTCAGCCTCTCCGGTTTGTCTCTAGCCCTCAAACAGATTTTGCCATTTTGTGATGGAAGAGGAGAAGAAAATTTGGGGAAAGTGATGTGGTGAAGCCTAGTTTACACATGCTGACAGGCGTGTGCCCACACAGCTCACATGGGTTTGTGCCTGGAGGTTGGATGCAGCTACCCAGGTACCACTTATGTTTATCAAATAATTATTAATGACCAATTCTAACCTAATGATCTCTCTCTCCCCCCACTCCCTCTCCTATTTAACTTGTAGTTTGTTTCTTCTTTATATGAAGGCTAATAACCTTCATAATTATTATATATAATAGCTTATATATAAGCTATTTACAACCATCTCCTGAATTTGGAAAGATCTGCATTCATATCTTTCTACCACTATCTTCTTTTATAGGGTTGGTGTAGAGTAAATTCCCTCTGTCTGCATCCAGCCTTTCTGCCCCATGACCCTCCAACTCCACTTTTATCACCGTGCAATGTGTGGTCCCAACCACATGAGTTGTGGATCTCAGACCTCGGTTTTGGGACCTTTTCTGTCCATGAGGATGGCCACATGACCTGACACCAAGCCATGAGTGTATGTCTGAAGTGGAATGATGGCACCAATCCCCAGCTCCAAGCTGGGGCTCCTCCTTTTGTCTCAATGTGCTGTGCCTTGGGGTATATGAGCAGGACATTTTGCCCCCATTTCACACCCTTAGAGCAGACAAGAAAGGGATGGTGGGGCAAGGATGTGATGGGACCCCTGCCTGGGGCACCCTGAGCCACAACTGACAGGGGACAAGAACAAGGAAAGAGCCTCTGCAGGTTTGAAAGTGCCTCTGGGATGGTTTCTTGTCTTGACAAGAGGAGATTTGCACAGAGAACGACTTCCTCCAGTTTTGAACTCTCATTGTCTCATCTGCAGCTGCCCTGATTTGAGCTGAAAAAAAAAATCTCTGGATTTTAGGTAAATTATAATAGGAGATTTTGTTAATGATATTTAAGGTAAAATTAAGAACTCTTGAAGTAGCACTCTTGTTTGTTGATACCAGTATTTTTTTTTTCAGCTTTGTATCACAATCATCCTCGATTACTCTAGGAGTATTTATTCTTACTGTTCTCTACACTGTTCTTTATCTGCCCCCAATTCCATGTGTTGAAGACATTCAGAGTAGCTCTTCCTGATCTGTTATTGGGAAAGCCTGGTTTTCTTGAGATAGTTGTGTTGTTTGTTTGTGGTTTTTTTTGTTTTTTTTTTGTTTTTTTTTCCTAGGTTGGTTTCATGAGGCTACATGGAATTGTTACAAGGATTGCTGCTGGGGTACTGTTTGACAGACCAACCTGAAAGGTCTGAATCCTCTGATCAGCCTCTGCTCTCTGATTGCTGTGGTGGCAGGAGACTCAGCCCAAGCTATTTCTGAGAAACTTTTTCTCCTTTGATAGATCAGCTAGCAGAGTAAGAAGATACCAGGCACTGTGGACTCTGCAGCATACAACAGTGAATGTAAGGTAATGTAATCCTCCTCCTTCAAGGGGCACATTTGTCTGAAAAGCACTTGGAGACAGCTCTTCCTGGGTTTTCAGCGTATTTAACCAAACAGAAAAAGTCCTGAGGGCAGGGAGAGTCACAGACTATGTGTGGTTAACATGCTATCTCTTCTTACAGTATGTCAGAAAGTGTAATGGATTTGCTGCATAACAGGAGACCACAAGTAATTAAGAGCAAGCAATCCTGCAGCACTCACTCAAGGAGAATAACTTCAGTGGGGATATACCCATTTTAGAGTTCAATCTGAACAAAGAATCAAGGCTTTGCCTTTAATTTCCATGTGGACAGGAAGGAGACCAGTCTGCAAATTCTCTGTCGATGCCAATAGGCCAGGTTCCCAGTCCTCTGGAGGCACTGGAAGGATTCCTGTTGGTCCAATGTTGCTGCAGAAACTGCAGCAAACCCGGGCTCCTGAAAGGTATCCTGATAACGCTTAAGTTCTTTTACTTTAACATCAACCAGAAAGAAATCTAACTAAATTGCGAAGGCTTCAGAATGTCTACACAAGAGTATTTGCTGATTTTATTGTATTGCTTTAAGAAGCAAATCAGTTTATGTTGCTAGAGCTCTCTGTATCAGCCAGCTCTGCAATAAGCTGATGTGCACAGTGTGAATGAGCCTGCACCTTCCTGTTAAGGACTTTGGTTTTGATTTTGAAAAGAGACAAGGAGCTTTGTTTAGGAGCCCACAGAGGAAAGTGACTCTGAAATAACTTGGGGTGTGATACTAATATCACTAATATCACTAGTATACTAATATCTAGTGATGCTAGTGATACTACCAGTGATGCTATTAGTGATACTGTTAGTGATACTAATATCACTAATATCTACTCTTCTAAAAGAGTGCATCTGGCACAACTGGAAGTCCTGAATGCATCCCAGCCCCTCACCTTGTCTGGAACACCCCCTAGCTTGAGTGGTCATTCTGCTGCTATTCTATTCTATTCTATTCTATTCTATTCTATTCTATTCTATTCTATTCTATTCTATTCTATTCTATTCTATTCTATTCTATTCTATTCTATTCTATTCTATTCTATTCTATTCTATTCGATTCGATTCGATTCGATTCGATTCGATTCGATTCCATTCCATTCCATTCCATTCCATTCGATTCCATTCCATTCCATTCCATTCCATTCCATTCCATTCCATTCCATTCCATTCGATTCGATTCTGTTCATGGCAGCTCTGCTACTCTGCTTACTTTACGGCACAAGTGGTCAATGGATTGAAAAGCTCTCAGTAAGGGCTGATGGACAGGCAGGCAGACAAAGGCCACAAAAATTAACACAACCTGCTAGTTTTGCTAGTGGTTATGTCTATATCTTACCAGCAAAGAAATGCCTGGCCTTAACTTGTTATTGACTGCACAGGGAATTCCCTTGCACAAGATAAAGCTGTAAGATAGCTAAATTGCACCGAGCCATAAATTCAATTCCTGCAAACTGCTGATGGCCCACTTTCCCAAGGTGAAGTAGGAAGTGCCAGACACAGCCCTGCAGAGACCAGCAACTTGTGTTAGAGAAAAAAGCAAGACCCAAATTTCAGTCCCTACTCTTTCTATCCTCCACCTTTCCTAGACATGAGCAGCAGCTCCCTAGTGTACTAGTCATCTCTTTCCTGTCTTCTCACTTTGGCTGCAAGCCCACATGACAGTAGCAAATCCAGCAGGGTGTCACAAAAGTCTTTATGTTTAGGTACTTGTTTCAGGTGTCTCAGACGTCTGGGATCTCTTGTAAGCAGTGGCAGAGATATAAATGGCTCTGGACAAAAATGAACTCTTTCTGGCTGTACTTAGGTGTCTTGCTTTTATTAAAAAAAAACAATAATAAGATTTGTTATATTTTACTTCTGATGGGAATGATTAACCTAACCCCATTGCTTAAAATAAAATGTCTTGAGTTAGTCAAGTAAAACACTTTATTTAATTGAATATACTTTTTTTTCCCCATACCTGATTCCCTGAAATTATTGAAGAAGCTCACTTCAGATTAATCTCACACTCTTTTTTTTTTTTTTTTTTTTTTCTTTTTTCCCTTTTTTCTTTCCTCTTCTTCTTCTTCTTATTCTTACTATGTGGTAATACTTTTTTGAAACCTCCCAGGTTTTGGAGAATCAGTTATTCTCACATATTCATTCTCAGGCAGGCCTGTTCCCCATCTCACACCTGTGCAATGTCTGGTGCAGAACAGCTCATTCCAGGACAGCAAAGGGACTTTTCTTGTAAGACTGAGTAATGAACTGCAACAAGGTGTTTGGGGGCTCTCTACCTCTAATCCAGTTGTTCAGCAGAGAGCATCTTTTAAAAATAAGGCAACAGAGGTCACAGACAACATCCTTCTCATTCTGCTTGTATAATAAATAACCAGAGGGGACTTGGTCCAGTCACTGACTTTTGATCTGCATCTTACACTAACACGGATGGTTTTCTGCACGAGATAGTGAACAGAATGATCCAGTATATAATTCCTGTTGAGCATAAAGCACTCTGTCATCCTTGTATACTGCTACATCTGACACCAAAGAGCTGAAACTGTATTTATTTTTCCTTTTGAACTCAGCAGCAAAGTGTTTTCTTTCAAGGTACAGTTTCAAAGGGGATATTGTATGAGAACTTGTTTCATCACTGAGATTTTAGTAATTCATGTATTGTGGATATTATTTGGGAACAACTTTGTGAAAGCAATATGGAAGCACATGCTTGCTCTGTTCTTAAAGCCCTCTCTTCCCATCTGTTTTTGACACCTTTGGAGGCAGATTATTGGATTGGGTGGGCCCTTGATTTGGCAGAACTTTCATCTGTTCC